ATCATAACATTACTGCTATATTAAGTATTCAGTCCATTCTCTTTATTTTTTTTAAGTTCTTACACTGAAATTTCAACCATACAACAACAACGACTACTACTATCACTTACTGTTATCAATAAATGGTGTAGCTGGAATCGGTAGTGAAGAAGTAAATAATGAGAGATGACAGTAGAAAAAGATTAGTTTCAATTCCGCTTCAATTCGTCTCTCTCATTCTTTTTCTTCCTACTCTTTTCCGTTATTTCCGTTTTTCACAAAAAAAAAATAGCAGTTGGTGGCATATGCCAAAATTATTTACCCCAATTCTTTTCTAAGCCATCCCTCTTTCCATACTACATATACGCTAATTTAACAATTCCATCTTCTTAAATAGAAAGAAAATAAAAAGAGTTGAGGAAATGGAAGCGAAAGAAGGAGACCCATCAAGGTCCTCTTCATAAAGGCTTACAACCCAGCCAGCTAATTCAATAAAAACGGAAATAGTTTATGATGCCAGTTGAATGAATCAATTTTCTGGAAGGAATAAGTAAAGTAGCAAATCTACCGAAAAAGCAAACAATGATCGATATCAGGTAAACAAATTCGTGTTAAAAAGTACCTGGTACTCAAGATTTTTTTATTCGAAAATGTTATTTAGTGGATCATTGCAGATAGTTGCATTATAAAATTGCTCAGATCTTAATTGCAATTAATTATAACTGCCTTACTACTCATTATACTTGTAACTTATATTTATTCAGTTATTAAATTATTAATCTGTTAATTGGCAGTATTTATTTCCCAATTATAACTATTTATACGAGTTTTTCTACATTTCACCGATTTATTTGTAAGTTAATATATATCATCAGTGGCTTGAAATTAAATAACGAGTAATGAAAAAAGAAACTACCGATTATTTTAATGATAGCAAAATGATTAAGGAAATGGAAAAAATTTTTTTAAAGTCATAAGATGACTATATGTAGGAAATAGCTGAATCCCACTTCTACTAGTCATAACTTTCTGTGGGTGAAAAATCATTGAGACAGCATCATCTGATTGATCAAATTTTGAGGCAGTTCTTTAGTTTCATAAAAGCACTTTCAATCCAAAAACATAATTGTTTATTTGCAATATAAATAAGCTGAGATTTATTTTAAATTTGTGGTAAAAATTAAAAGGATTACATAATCATTTGTCTCTTTTCCAAATGGTAGCTGTAGATCAAGTTGAGGTTACTTGAAAAGTTAGGATCATATATTAAACCGTCCTAAATGACATCTATTTTCTTTCTTACATATCTTCTTCCTATTCAATAAAAGCTGTAGAACTCATTTTTTAATGAAAATTTTAGCGGATATAAAGCACTCTGTGATAACCGCGAACAAACTCATCAGTCTATTTGACCTTGCTATTAATGATCATTGTTCGGTGTACGGCAAATTCAGTAAGATTTTTCCTACTATTTCATGAATTCATAGTGAGTTGTGCGAATGTTTCCGAAAAGATTTGATGACGCTTTTTACTGCTTTTTATGGAGATGGTTATCTGTTTTATGAAGTCATAAAACTGAAATATTAGAAGGTTTACTGAGTTCTTTTCAAATCAGATATTATTTTTCTCTGCATTGATTTTCATATTTTGAGAATAGGAGATGAATATAAAAATTTCATCAATGCTAAAAACACTATGCCATGATCGAAACCATTTGTGTTTACTTAAACGAGAGCATTAAAAAGAACTTCTGCTTCAAAAAGTATGATGAATTTGATGAAAATTTATGCCTCGGTGATGAAGACATATTATGTGAAATGAAATATATGAAAAAATAAATTAAATGTTCAACCTTGAATACGATATACCAATTGTGAAAAACTGATAAGAAAAGAAGCAAGAAAAGTAGAGAACCTAAAACATTTTGAAGTTTCAATCTGCAAATTATGCATAACAATCTGAGGTATTTCTGTAATCATCGAATTGACCGATAGTATTGTGCAAAGAAGATGACCGAATTAGATATGCTATTGCATGAACTGCTTTTTGTAATTCAGCATAATTTATGAGGACAAAAAATTGTGATATAAAAAAGAATAAGCATTTGAATCAAAAAGAAAAAAAATTAAATGAAAAAAATAACTTGATCACTTTTAGTTTTACAACTGGAAAAATAATGATATAATCAAATCACGAAATATGATTTGAAATTTAAATCCGACAATGAAAGAAGACTGATAACTGCTAAAGAAAAAAAGCTACGGATAACTGGGATAAAACCAATAATAGAATAACTATAAAGGATAATTTCTTTGGAGCATTACAAATATGTCAAGCGAATTCTTCATCAATTCTTTGGCTTTCACAAAAATGAAATCCAAAAACAACTAACCAATACAAATGACCAAAGAATGAAGTGTTGTATTAAAATACTAAATATATCAAAATTTGCATGTTTACGTGAATGCATAAAC